AATAACAATAATAATGAGGATGAGGATGAGGATGATGAAGATGAAGATGAAGATGAAGATGAAGATGAAGAAGAGGTGGTGGTGGTGGTGGTGGTGGTGGTGGTGGTGGTAGTAGTAGTAGTAGTAGTAGTAGTAGTAGTAGTAGTAGTAGTAGTAGTAGTAGTTCATTAATCCCAAAAAGCTTCCCAAAAATTCTCTTCCCCAGATATGGCTCTAATGACTAGACTACTAAATTATATGGCACTGTGGATAGGACTGTGATGTGAATCTGTTTGTAGATGTATATAAACAGGTTAATTTTGTTATGCAGTAAATATTTGTAAATGCTGACAACAATCAAACTTTCATGTCAGGTCTTCCACCCAATATGACATGGATTGAATCCCTAAAGGAAGCCACAGGCTTGAGTTTACAGGAACTGAGCAGGGCTGTTTAGGGGCCTTAGCATGGAGTTGCAAAACAGCAGACAGGAGAAGGAATGGAAAACAGGAAAAATGTTAGGCGAAGGTATCTGACCTTTGCATGCAGATCTCAAATAATTTTTTGGAAAGTCAATTGCACTCCACATGTTAAGTGATTTAAGGATGTTTGGTTGGGGAATTCTTGAGCTCAGATGGCACATACATCACTAGCAGAGAAACTGAGAGTGTGGCTGATAGCCCAAGGGGAGCCTATTTGCTGCTCAGCGGAGAACAAGATCACTCTTGTCAGTTTTGATAAATGCCTATTCAGGTCAAGGCATTGTAATACCTATTACATCTACAGTAACCTAATAGAAGATGAAGAAGTAGAGTACAGTATGTCCAAGAGTGCCAGGTAGTAAGTAGGTCAAAATGCAAACCTCAGAGAGGCATATTAGTGGACCAGAGTCGAAATAGAAGCTGGGATGAGTTGGTCGTGAGAACTTTCGCATTGTTTCCCTCACAGAACTCTTATCATGCTTCAGGATAAAGTGTGGATTTGGTCTCCCGGGGCAGGCAGTTTATGGCTCCTGGACTGGACTGTGTGAACCACACACAACAATAGAGTGTCAAGTAGCAAATAATTTTTAAAAATTCATTTCAAACATTAATTTCAAAAATAAAAAAATTAACATGAACTGGAAGATGAGGTTTAGGCCTCTGGCTGCAGAGCCAGAGGTTGGGAGTTTGATTGCCCACCATGCCTCCTCGACAGGGGCTGGATTCGGTGATTCAAGCTCTGCAGCAACAACAACAACTTGCGAGCCTCCCAAAACCTGTGGGAACATCAGGTAGAGAAGGTGTCAGAAAATTAGGAAGTCAAGATCTTGTGGCGTTTCCAGATCCAAACAGATAGACACCTTGAACAAAGCACAACAGACATAGTAGTAATAGAATGAAGAAATGTCTGGATCCTTGATATCACAATTCCAGGGGATGCCTGTTAAAAGCTACCGTATAAATACGTAAACAAAAGAAGTGATAGCCATGTTTCCACAACACAAATGCAAAACCCCTTACTTATGGGGATACGTTTATACAAGGCACCAAAGATAGACACCGTGAACAAAGCACAACAGACATAGTAGTAATAGAATGAAGAAATGTCTGGATCCTTGATATCACAATTCCAGGGGATGCCTGTTAAAAGCTACCGTATAAATACGTAAACAAAAGAAGTGATAGCCATGTTTCCACAACACAAATGCAAAACCCCTTACTTATGGGGATACGTTTATACAAGGCACCAAAAAACAAACAAACACACACAGAGAGAGTGAGAGAAGTTGCATGCTGAATTGCATGACCTGGCTTATAACAGAAAATGTCTATTCTGATGTTTTAATGTTGCATGCTGAATTGCATGATCTGACTTACAACAGAAAATGTCTATTCTGATGTTTTAATTTGTGGCACTTTGCCTTAAGAAGTTACTCCCTTTGCACTATACTGCTGGAAATGGCAACAGGAATTAGGTTATTATCAGTTATTCTTGTTTTTAAATTATATTATTTTTTATTTTTAGTAATTATTTTTATCTTTCTTGATTGTAACCTGTTCTAAGATTTTTTTAAATAAAAAAGGTAAAATATTTTAACATAAATAATAAAATTATTAAGTAAACTTTAGATAAACAGATACAGCCATGCTCAGACTTGGAGCATGTCACAGTGATTTATATATGTGCTCAAGGCCTTTTACAGTACAACGCTTCAACAGGGAAAAGATCTGAATATCAAATAGAAGTCATAACCAGGTGTGAAATACTACATTGATTTACACAACTTGCAATTTATGTCTACTGATTAACCAGTCAAATGAACCACTGTCTCTATTTTGGAGCTATGTATAAATTTATACAGATTTGTCATGTAATCTCATTCTTATGTCTGGGGAAGTTGATTTGATCCACAAAAGCTCACATTAAAATGTAACAGTCTTTTAAGGTGCCACAAAGTTTTTGTCTTTTTAATGTTTTTTTATTTTGGTTTTGCCTGATATGTAGGCACAGACTTACACAGCTACCTCTTCTAATGCTCCAAGCAGCTGCCTAAGACCACCATATTTTTTTGTGTTTTTTTTTTCTTTCCCTTTTTAATTTTTTAATAGAGTTGCTCTGTGATATGTATGACAGGCAGACATTCAAAGATAGAAAGAAATAAAAAAAATACTTCAGTAGATATTCATGCCGGTTTTCACTTATTCAATTCAAGCAGCCACCAAAGGCACATGAATTCTGCTCCCAGGTGTATGCAGGAAAATGCAAAAAAGAAAAGAAAAAGAAAAAAGAGGATGGCAACTCTACTGAAGCCTCAAGTCTAGACTAACCCTTCATTTAAATTATCATGAGAAGAGACACAAGGGAAGGGTGTCACATTTGTGTTCAGGCTCTCAAGAGAAAGATCTGTGGATCATCTGTCATGCTGAATTAAACCACTGTTTCACCTTGCTCTGTGTCATTTGCTTCAGGGCTGCTTCTCCCTTTAAGCAGAATGAGGCAGCCACACAAGAGAGGTAGACAGACAGTATTTGGAGCAAGGGCAGTGGTGGCAACCGCCCAGCCCGTCTGCTCCCTTTGTATCAGAAGTAACGCAGTACAGTACATACTTATTGCAAAGCTTGTAAGTATGTCAAAAAATGTTTGTGCAACATCAAGGACGTTTGTAGTAGCTAACATTCAATCTTCTGTAATACATGTTGAGGAGCACAGAGTAGGCTGAGACAGGTGTGGTGTTGCCTGTTCTTCTTCCACTTGTAAGGAGCTATGTTGGTCAAACTCTGCATTTCCTTAAGTTCACCTTGGTTCTGACCATTCCAGTATTGAGACTGCCAAACAATTCAGCCCTCGGTGTGAACAGAGACTAAACGTTCCTGGGGTTCCATCCATTTTAAGAGGCTTTCCACAGCATAGTCCTGGTATTATTTGAGGTTTATTCAAGATTCACAGGTGGTCTTTAAATGTTAAATGTTTTCCCAAGGAAGGGGTGGTGGAAGCCAAAGAGTGCATAATGCATTTGATGCAGATGCTTTGAGTCTTTCACTATTAGCTGCTACCTCTTTCTGTATGGCGCTGGGTATAATTGTTGCTAGGTTATGACTTTACCCAAGGGATTGGGTTAAGGCATCCAATAATGAATCTACAGCTTTCATTGAGTGCTATGACTACTTATTTTGCATTGGCTGTACAATATCACAGCAAGCTGGCATATTCACCTACAGAGTAGTATAAAGTGAAGGCTTAGTTCTACTCTGGAAATGACAAGCTCAGAAATAAAAGAGTGGTGCTGATACTGAGGCAACGTAGCACAAGAAGTTAGGGGCAATAACACAAAGTCTGGCCAAATAGTATCAATCAGATGGAAAATCTATCAACATAACCATAATTTGTCTATGCACCAAGTACTGATGCTGAAGAATTTAAAGCTTTTATGCAAGCTTCCAGGAGGAAATTGATCACACACCAAAACAAGACATGCTTATAATCATAGGTGACTGGAAAATGGGAAACAAAGCAGAACCAAATGTTGTTGGAAAATTTCATTTAGGAGATAGAAACAAAGGAGAATTACTTATATGGTTCTGCGATGCCAACAGTCTGGTTATTACAAATATGTGCTTCAAGTAACCCAACAAATGACTGTACACATGGACATCACCAGATGGTCAATATAGAAATCAAATAGACTATGTAATTGGAAGTAGGAGATGGAGAAGCTGTATTCTCTCAACCAAAACAAGCCTAGTGGATTGTGGTACTGATCCTGAACTGCTAATATCCAACATAAGGGTAAAGCTGAAAAAGAATACTAAAAGAATTATAGTGCCAAAATATAATTCAATAATTTCTAATTAAGGAATTAGAAAATACAATGAAGTGTAAGGACGTGTCATTAGAGACTAAGACCAAGAGAGTCCACACTCTTGTATTCCTGATCATTATGTATGAGTGTGAAAGTCTGACTCGAAAGAAAGCTGACAGGAAAAAAATATTAATTTGAAATATAGTGCTGGAGCACGGCTTTGCGGATAATTATGGGATTCTGCCAAAAATATGAACAGGTGGGTCCTACAGTAAATCAAGCCCGAATGAGCTCTTGAGATAAAAATGATGAAACTGAGGTTTTCATACTTTGGGCACATCATGAGAAGGCAAAATTCTCTGGGAAAGTCAATAAGGCTGGGAAAGTTTGAAGGCAGCAGGGAAAGAGGAAGACTAAATATAAGATGGATTGACTACCTAAAGGAAGCTACAAGCTTGAGTTTACAAGAGCTGAGAAGGGCTGCTGAGGACAGGACATTTTAAGTATCACTCACAAGGTCACCATAAATTGATGGCATGTAACAACAACTGTCTATAAGATCTCTCAGCTGATAGTCTCATGCTAAATGTTTTGTAGCCTTGGTGGTAGTTGTCTCTATGTGCTTTATGAATGCATTGTATATCACAATCATATGTCTGTCAAAACTGGTGCAGTCGCTCTTCTTTACGTGTTAACAAACCCTTTGTATTAATAGAGATTATTATAAATTGTGGCTTTTCTTCTTTACTTTTCTTTAATCTCAGGCAGAAAAAATGTATCAGAGCTGTCTAGTCTGGTACCTGGTTGTATTCCAAGTCAGAGGCTATTTCTGAGACCATGCCATGAGGCAAGTGGTGAATTGTAGCGAGGTGTTGGAGAATGTGGCTACTGGCTGTATGCACCCTGCATCTCTTAGGATAGTCATTACCCTGTGTTGTAGGTGGAGGATGCTTTCCTGTACCAGTGCTGAAGTCGGATTCCAGCGCTCGTCCAGCTGGGGCTGTTTTGTGTGGAATTTGATGAAGCCTATACTGTTCTGCATTATAAAAACTCTTAGGATATACCCTGTGTTGTAGGTGGAGGATGCTTTCCTGTACCAGTGCTGAAGTCGGATTCCAGCGCTCGTCCAGCTGGGGCTGTTTTGTGTGGAATTTGATGAAGCCTATACTGTTCTGCATTATAAAAACTTATATTATGAATAACAGCTTCTACAGAGGAAAATCCATTCTGTGCCTGATATAAGGCACTTTCATTGGTGACTATTTGACCCATACAACTCAGAAACGAACCTTGTGGCTTTTCACAAACGTGCACTGTTGCGATGAAAGAAGGGCTGCTCCAGAGGGAAAGGAACTCTGTACATGCTAGAAGGTGCTGTCTTTTATGATTGCTTCGGGCGGGGGAGGGGGGGCGCGGAGGGAATGTCCGGCTGCCCAACAGAGAACAGTATTGTGTAAGGAACTCAAAACCACTTTAAAATGTTTGCCTTCTCTTTCCCCACTTCCAGGAGCCCACAAGAGAGGACACTCCTGTGCGGGTTATCTGCGAGGCTGTTATAAATAAACAGCCAGGAGGAAATGTATTAATTTGCCCGCATTTGGCAGGCAGTCGTGATGATGATGAGGCGGTGTTGAGGAACTGGCACTCTTCACGTGCTCCATGAGAGCCTTTCTCACCCTCACGACCTTCCTCCCTCGCCTTTTGCAACCCGGGCTTGCGTCGGAGAAACGCAGCCCGCCGTCCAACTGCTGCTGCGCGGTGAACCCAGGGAATTTTTGCTGCCAAGGAAAGCGTGCTCAGGATCCAACCTTTAGCAAGCCTCACGTCCCCAAGTGGAAAGGGTGGCGCCCCCTCCCCCCACTTTGGCGGCGCTCGTCCGGCCCACAGGGGGAGCCCTCCAGGTCACGCACCGGCGCGGGCAGGCGGGCGGGAGGGCGGCCATTCGGCTCCCCCTGGCGCCGGGCGAGAGGTGCTGCAAG